GTGCTGCGCCTTCTCCCCTTCCTTCACCAGGTCTGGAACGTCTATTGAGTGCTGAACTATCTCCACGCCCTGGTCACCAAGCCCAACATCCTCGCTATTCTGGACGCCCCTCCGTTCCCGCGCCTCCGTTCCCGCGCCTCCCTTCCCGCGCCTCCCTCCGCCTCCCCTCCACCAGGTGTGGAACGTGTACGGGGTGCTGAACTATCTCCACGCGCTGGTCGCCAAGTCCAACATCCTCGCTATTCTGGACGACGACTCCGACGGCGGGGCAGCGGCGGTGTTCCTCGCCACCGAGGGCTACGACATGAGCGGCAACGGCAGCAACGTGGAGCGCGTGCTGGGGTACCTGTCGCTCGTGGGGCTGCTGCGCATGCACTGCCTGCTGGGGGACTACCACACGGGCCTCGTGAAGCTCTCTCCCATTGACATTGGCCGCCCGGGCGTGTTCCAGCGAATCACGGGGTGCCACATCACTGTTATGTACTACTATGGCTTCGCCAGCCTCATGCTCCGAAGGTAAGCCTTTTCTCTCGAAATAGCCTTCTTTTGGGTGAGGGGAGGGAGGGGGGAGGGAGGAGGGGGGAGGGAGTGGGGGTAAGGAGGGGAGTGGGGGTAAGGGAGGGGGAGGGAGTGAGGGAGGGATGGGGTTTGCCCCTAGGGTACCTGTCGGTCGTGGGGCTGCTGCGCATGCGCTGCCTGCTGGGGGGCCACCACACGCCTGTGGGCGCACAAGGGCGCTCAACCAGGTGTGCCTGTGCCACTCCTTGTCCTTTTCCTTGTGCCCACCTTCCTGGAACCTTCCTTTTCCCTCCAATCCCTCCCCACCCCCACCCACACGCTCCCCCACAGGTACGTGGACGCCATAAGGGCGTTCAACCAGGTGCTCCTAACGCTCTCCAAGGCCAAGCAGTACCACGAGACGCTGCCCCAATACGACCAGATCCTAAAAAAAACCGAGCAGATGTATGCTCTCCTCGCCATCTGCCTCGCTCTCTGCCCGAACGGGAAATTACTGGAGGAGAGCGTCAACGGGCAGCTGCGCGAAAAGTTTTCGGACAAGATCCAGCGGATGCAGCGCGGCGACGAATCGGTGTTTGACGAGCTGTTTTCGTTCGCTTGCCCGAAGTTTGTCACTCCTGCCCCTCCGGTCGAGGATGGGGGCGAGTTGGTTAACTACAACCAGGTGCGTTGGCTAAAGGGTTAAAGAAGGACCAAAACACCAAGAGGTGCATCCTCGTTACTGTAGATGAAAATACATCAAAAATATGATAAAGATTTATACAGCTAATCAGCTGGCTAGAGGGGGGTTGCAGTGAATTTGCACTTCAAAGCTCCTCCTAAACCCGTGATTTTGCAGGGTGTTTTTGAGAATTCTCAAAAACACCCTCCTAAACCCGTTCCTCCCCATCCGCCTCCGCCCTCCATCCGTCCCTACCCCTTCCTCTCGTCCCCCGGTCCGCTCCTCCATCTCCCAACCAGGACGCCTACTGCATGTAGCTGAGGCCCTTCCTGGCGGGCGTGCGCTCCCAGCTCGCCCTCCTGGGTCTCTGATATGATCCGCACTGTCTCTCCCCTCAGCCATCTCCCTTCCCTGCAATTTACTCTCTGCCGCCTCTTCCTTTGAGGCGCCTCAGAAGCACTCTTCCCAACGCCTCACATGTGTCTTGTTTTTTTTTTTTTTATCTCAAAAACAAAACACAATTAGCTCTCCGCCGCCTCTTCCCAACACCTCACACCGCAACAGGACGCGTACCGCCTGCAGCTGAAGCTCTTCCTTGCAGACGTGCCCTCCCAGCTCGCCCTCCCGGGGCTGAGATCCGTGCTCTCGCTGCCCTCTGCCATCTCCCTCCCACACCTCTCCTTCTTGCTCCCAAATCGCCCCGTACCCCCCACCCCCACCTCAACAGGACGCCTACCGCCTGCAGCTGAAGCTCTTCCTGGCCGACGTGCGCTCCCAGCTCGCCCTCCCCGGGCTGCGATCGTTGCTCTCGCTATACTCTGCCATCTCTTACCTCTGCTACCACCTCTCCCACCATTTTCCAACACCACCCCCCACCAGGACGCCTACCGCCTGCAGCTGAAGCTCTTCCTTGCGGACGTGCGCTCCCAGCTCGCATTGCCAGGGCTGCGGTCGGCACTGTCACTCTACTCCGCCATCTCCCTCCCCCGCCTCTCCACCTTCCTGGATGTTTCCGAGTCCACGCTCAGGTGAAGCAGCAGGTGTTCTCAGGTTTTGGGTCATATGAGTTCATCTGTTTTCACAATTTGTCTTTTGAGTCTGATGACTTAAAGCGAGGGTCTCAAGAAGCAGAAAACCAAATCCAAAGGTTTTGGTTTTGGGTTGACGAACTTTGCGAAACAGTTACAACGCCCAACCAGCACCCCTCATCGCACCTCGCAATTGCCGAGACCCCCCAAAACCAAAACCTTTGGGTTTGGTTTTTTGCTTCTTGAGACCCTCGCTTTAAAATGTCTGATGAGTTACTCATCTGTTTTCACAAATCTCCAGCTTCGCACGGTTTTTGAGGCGCCTCACAAATAGACTTCTATCGCACTGTTTTACGGACCTGCCAAACATTATGAGGAAGTTTGCCAACCTTACCTCATAACTCCACTCACCCTTTGACTTTTGAGTCGACTCAACTGCCAACCTTACCTCATAACTCCACTCACCCTTTGCCAGCTGTCCCATAATGTTTGGCTAACCTTCCTCATAAGTCTAACTCCACCCTTTGCCAGCTGTCCCATAACTTTCAGCATTGCGCTCCCATCCTCTCATGCACGTTTATGAAGCCTTCACTGCTATAGCTATATCTTGTGTTCTTAATCGTTTGTGCGTATGTGTGCGTATGTATGCGTATGTGTGCGTATGCGTGTGGGGGTGCCACTTGTTGTATATCCAGGACCGCTCGTATCACCCTTTGCCATAAGAACACGGTCGTTGAGGCGGATGGCTCTGTGCTGCCCAACGCTCTCACTCGTTCTCACGACCTGTTTCCCCACTCTGTTGCACCACTCTCCACACCTCTCCACACCTTGGCACCACTCTGCACCATGCTTTCCTTTTGTTTCCAGGACCGCTCTTATCACCCTTCGCCATAAGAACACGGTCGTTGAGGCGGATGGCTCTGTGCTGCCCAACGCTGAGCTGGACTTCTACATCGATGATGTAAGCGGGGCATGGGATGATGCCACCAGTGCATGGGATGATGTCAGCATGTGCATGGTATGATGTCAGCAGTCGCATATTCTAGCTCTTCCCTCCTCCCTACCTCCACACCTCATGCTAGTGGTCGACCGCAAGAAAGGCTCCCAGGCACATCAAAGCATCCCCAGGCAAAGCACACGTGATTTTGCAGGGTGTTTTCGAGGATTCTCAAAAACTTCCCTTTCCCCTTCCCCTTCCTGGCCCACTTCCCCCTCCCCCTTTTCCCCTTCCTCCCTTCCCCCTCCCCCCTCCCTCCCCCTGCCTGCCATCTCCCAGCATCTGGTGCAAGTGGTCGACCGCAAGGGAGGTTCCCAGACCCACCATGTCCCCCTCCCCCCTCCCTTTCCCCTTCCCCTCCCCATTCCTCTCCCCCCACGCCTGCCATCTTCTAGGATCTGGTGCAAGTGGTCGACCGCAAGACAGCCATCCAGGCTCACTGTTTCGCTTCCCCCCTCCCCCTTCCCCTCCCCCTTTCCCCCCCCATTCCTCTCCCCCTTCTCCTCCCTCTTCTCCTCCCCCTTCCCCTCCTCCCCCCTCTCCCCCTCCCTTTCCTGCCTGCCAACTCCCAGGACCTTGTGCAAGTGGTCGACAGCAAGACCACTCGGCGGTTTGGAGACTATTTCATAAAGCACATCCTCAAGGTACTGCAATGCTGTGCTGTGGGGTGTGTTTGCTGAGGGTTTAGGCAGGGGTTTAGGCGGGGGTTTAGGTCGGGGTTAAGGGGGGGGTTGCGTGGGTTTGAGGCGCCTCGAAACAGGACAACTTGACGGTTGGGGGACGATGTCATCCAGCACGCCATCAAGGTACTCTATCGTAGTGCTGTGGCCCGCAGGGCAAACGTGTACTGGGTGTTTGGTGGTTTTTGAGTCGACTAAAAAATCACCTGTGGGGCAAACACGTTGTGGGTGTTGGGATGCATTGTCTGCTTTGAGGATCCTCGAAGCAAGACCACTCGGCGGTTTGGGGACTACATTATCAAAGCACATCCACAAGGACAAGTGGTTTGAGGCGAGTTCACTGCAGGTTTAGATGGGGTTTTGCACGGTTTGATGCTCCTCGAAGCAAGACCACTCGGCGGTTTAGGGACTACATCATCCAGCACGTCGTCAAGGTACTGTAGTGTTGTTATATGAGGTGTGCTTTAAAATGAGAGCATGGGGTTTGGAGACTACTTCATCAAGCTCGTCCTCGAGGGGTTCTGTAGTGCTGCGAAGCGTGCTTAATGGATGTTGGGATAGTGCAGGGTTTGGGTGTGTGTTCGGGTGCCTGTGTGGATGCCTTGCGTTGTTTGAGGTGCCTCAAAACGAGAGCTTTTGGTGGTTCGGAAACGATTTTATGGAACACACTTTCTCAAGGTAAGTAATGTGTTTGATGGGTGCTTTGGTGCTTGTCTGGTTGCCTGTTTTGCCTGTCTTTCTCATTGAGTCTTCCATTCGCCTGTCTCCACCCACATTTGCCTCCATTTTTTTTTCTTTTGTTTATTTATTTCCAATTTTGCTGCCTTGCTTGTTTCTTAATCCCCTCCCAGTTTGACGAGCTTGCAGGGCAGCTGGAGAACGTTCAGCTAGTGGTCTAAAACGGGTTACCAGCATGTTACCCTCTGGTGTAATTTTGCAGGTCTTTAATATGTACCTTCAGATAAGCTAGGAAATAGAACAAATAATGCCAGAAACAAAAGAAAATACCAAATCTGGTTTTCTTGAGACACCTTACACGGAAAGATCTCTAACACATGTTGTCCTGTAACATGCTCTATTGGCAACCAGTCACCTGAGCATTCTCCTGCCTGGCATCACCCCAAATGAGACCTGCCACACTATACCACGGTACCTTATTTCTGTCTCTATCATCCTGGATTCACCACATGCTGCTCTTGTCCGTCCTCTGCACCGCTGCTGGCAGTTTCACTTTCCCTGGGCTGGCATGCTGTGCCCAGCAACCGTCGCCTCGCCACCACCCGTTCCAGAGAACAGGGCTAAGGCTGGAGCGAAGTCACCGTCTCACCACAGCTAGGATGTGTTTTGTTTTTGAGAATTCTCAAGAGCGAATTGATTGTCTCACCACAGGCCGTTCGGCCCGTCCTCTGCACCCCTGCTGGCAGTTTCGCCTGCCCCCGGCCCCCATGCTGCACCTGCCTCATCCCACCCACCATCACCACTGCTCTAGTCTAGAGTCAGCCCAAGTTCATTCACCGGTACGTCCACTGTGAGGGGCTGCAGAATGCCTCTGGCGATCATAGTGGGCTGGGGCATGCCCCTCTGGATCCTATAGCAATCCCTCAGAAGGCAGCCTTCTTGTCCGTCCACTGCACCCCTGCAGGCAGTTTTGCTTTCCCCAGGCCCCCATGCTGCACTCTCCTCATCCCAGCAACGATTTCAACCACCTCGTGAAGGGACAGCCCGAGATCGTTCACCCGTACGTCCACCGTGAGGGGCTGGGGCATGCCCCTGGCTATCGTGGAAGCTACCAATGCTGCGCTGGTGGAGCTGAGAGGAAAGTATGCGTCTTCCCCTGCTGCTGCCACCGACCCAATAGCAGACAAGTGCCTATCGGAAAATTCCCCTTCCCTTTGAGTTGCATCCAAACGCCCCCAGTTTGAGTTCTCTGTTGCGGCACAGAACAGCCGGCACCTCCCTCGCTCCCCCACCTCCACAAACGTCCCCCGGGCACCGACCCTCTCCAGCACATTCTGGATGCACCCTATCTCGCTCCCCTGGAACGCCCCGTGCCGCATCACCACCACCCTCCTTCCCCTCACGTCCTCTTCACTCATCGCCCTTTCGAGCGCCTCGTCAGGTAGACCCTCCCCCGCTACAGGACAAGGGACGGGAACGGCCCTCCGCATCTCCCCCCTCGGGCCGAAGATAGAGATGACAGCTGGCTCGTCCACGTTGGATGAGATGGCGGGCTCATCCACGTTTAATCTGATGCCTGGAGAATGAGTGGTCCCACTCCCTAGAGGCACATCGGTGTTAGACCCGGCTTCTAAGGACACATCGGTCTCCGCTTTCAAGGACCCAAGGGAGGGGGGCACATAGGCGGCGGGCAAACTCCCTTTCGTTGCAATGCCAATGATACAATCGGTGTCCTTGCCGAACCCTGGCGTGAGCACGTAGGGCAGCGCCCCTGCCTTTGCTGCGATTCGCTCCACCGCGGCTGCGAGAAGGGAGGCGAAGTAGGCGCGGGAATCGCTTGCGATCGCGAAGGTGTTGGGCGTGAGCATGTGGGAGGGAAGGGGGGAGATGGGAAGCGGAGAGAAGACGGGCGAAGGGCTGTTCCTTGTGCTGCTTCTGCTGCTGCTTGTGCTGCTGTCGCTGCTGCTGCTGCTGCCCCTGCCCCTGGCCCCGCCCCCGCCCCCGCCGCTGTCACCACTCCTGCTGCTGCTGCCACCAGTGCTGTTGGTATTGTCTATATCTTCAGTTGCATCATCCACCCCAGTAGCGTGCTGCAGCGCCCGCCACACAGCAGCAGCCGCACTCGAAGCCTTCTCCTTTCTCACCCACCTCGCAACCGTCCCCCACCCCTCCCTGCCTCCCCCCTCACGCTAACCTCCTCCCACTCCCCTTTCCCGAAATCTGACACCAGAACGAGAAACTCCGCCCCAATGCCTTTCAAGACGTGCACCTCTTGAACCAAAAACTGCCTCAGCTCCTCCTCTGAAGATGGCTCCAATCTTTCCTCCAAACTCCCCACAGTCCCCACCGGCCCCCATACTATCTTGCGCATTTTGGTTCTCTCCGCACTCGCCACTCCCAGTTTCCGCAGCTGGGCCATCATCTCCATTATAAACGGCTCCGAGTCAGCATATAAGGCGGGTGAATTACCCGGGGGAGACACATACAATAGACCAATTTGAAGGGGTTTTTCTGGGCTTTGGTACATCCCAAACTGGTGAATGGCTTTCCGAATGGCTGTAACAGGCTCGTCTACGGGCAGCAAAAACCTTTTCCCCACTTCTTTCTTCTGCCTGCTCAAGTCCACCTTGAGAAATGGCCCGGACACCGGCTCCGGGCAGACGAAATCTCTGAGGGCCAATGAGGAGGAAATCTCTTGAATCTCGGCGAATCGGGCTTCAGGAAGCAGCCGAGCTGTGGAGCTGACCGCACCAATGCTGCTGACATCAAAACCCAAATCTCTCAGAAATTTCTCGTTTTCCGGGCAGATGACGAGCTCCAGATAATCGGGCAGCCAGTGAAAACCGTCCACAATGAAAAGAACCGTCGACGGGTCCGCTTTTTCAAACCTTTCCCGGATCTCTTGAGTAGAGGTAACCTGCATAAGCCACTGATAAAGCTGCTCTGTTTTTGGGCCCAGCTCCTCCCACTCCGTTATCATAGCAGCCTTGGACCGAAAGGGTGTTTTCACAAGGGCGCCGAGCAGCTTACTGGGTGAGCTTGTAGCGAGGATGCCTTTCAAGGGGATTCCGCGCTTGCTCTTGATGTCTATAACCAAACCGGGCTGCCCGAAAAGAGAAACCGGAGAGAGGGAAGGAACTGGCTTCAGAAATTTAGTGACATCCCTGCTGCTCCTCCCGCTGACGCCGCCACCGCTGCCGCTGCCGCTGCCGCTGCTGCCGCTGCCGTTGCTGCTGCTGCTGTTGCCACTGTTGCCTCTGCTGCCGCTGCTGTTAATGCTGCTCCTGCCGCTGCTACTACTCCCTTCCAAATCAGCTAATTGTTGCTCCAATTCCACCTGGCAGCACAGCAGCCTCGCCACGTCATCACTGGTCACCACCCAGTCAGCAGGCTCCTGTTGCGGCAGCACAGTGCCCTCATTGGGGCAATCACCAGTCCCTGCTGCTGCATCAGCCCCATTGCCAGCTACAGCTCCAGTTACATCTGCTGTAGCTGCAGTTACATCTGCTGTAGCTGCAGTTACATCTGCTGGAGCTCCAGTTACATCTGCTGGAGCTGCAGTTACATCTGCTGGAGCTGCAGTTACATCTGCTGGAGCTGCAGTCACATCTGCTGCAGCTGCAGTTACATCTGCTGTAGCTGCAGTTACATCTGCTGGAGCTGCAGTTACATCTGCTGTAGCTGCAGTTACATCTGCTATAGCTGCAGTTACATCTGCTGGAGCTGCAGTTACATCTGCTGGAGCTGCAGTTACATCTGCTGGAGCTGCAGTTACATCTGCTGCAGCACCAGACACACTCCGCGTCTCCCATGACCGTCCTAGGTACTTCACCCCATCCAGGACTCCCTGTAACTCGGGAGTCAGCTCGGCCATTAAGTGGCTCTCACTAAATTGCTGCTGGCTCTTACTTAAGAGCTGCTGGCTCTCGGTTAAGTGCTCATGACCCCCCTCGTTACGGAGGCACACTAGTGCGTGATGAGAGTTGACGTACACAAACGGGACGCTGAGAGCTGAAGTTAGGCGGTAGGCGAGCTTGTTCCCCAGCTTGGATTGGTCCGAGGAGGTCAAGTGAGCAGGCCAGGTGACGCGGTAACGGTCACAGGCGAACTGAGCGGCGAAGGCTGAGGGAAGGGAGGAAAAGGGGAGAGGGATGATTAGTGCTAATTGATCGGAATACTTCCATATAATAGAGAGAATGGGCAGGTGGACTTGGTAACACAACGGGAGGGAGGAGAAACAGGGTTGCAATCACAGGGAAGCAGGAAGGAACTGCTTACTTGGATTGAAGTGGAAAATGTTGGTTACTGTAGCTCCTTCAATGGCGCTTCTGTACCTCCCAGCACTTCTGCTGCTGCTGCTGCTGCTGCTGCTGCCAGCGTTAGTACGGATGGTCCTGCCAGCGTCAGTATTGCTGCTAGAGACTAGCCTCTCCCTCCTCTCACTCTCCTCCAAACCAGAACCGCTGCTGCTTCTGCTGCTAACATAGCCCCTGCTACCGCTGCTATCGATGCTACCACTGCTACGGCTGTTACTGCTGCTACCGCTGTTACTGCTGCTACCACTGCCAGCACTGCTCACACTGTAGCTCCTGTGGCTTTGGCTGGCACTCCTGCCTCGATAACTAGTATCGATTCTGCTTTTAAGGGCAACAAGTCCAGCAGCATGGGATCTCTGTAAGGTGTTGCGGAGCCCTCCAACCCCGACTTTGTTGCTGCTCATACCGCTGACAGTAGTTTTAATGCTGCGAAGCTTGTTTTGAGGCGCCTCAAAACTGGTGATTGAAGCACTGATGCTGCTGCTGCTCCTGGTTCCGATGGCGCGAAGCTCGGGAAACGCATTTATAGAAAATGCATTCGTAGCCCCCCCTGGAGTAGCTGGGACGAAATTCGCACACGGTCTAGATCTCGACACGTGGAACTTGTCCATGGGTAAACGAACGGCGGAGATCTCGAGGTAGTTGCAAGATAGGCGGTGGAGACTGCCCTGAGCGATAGTGGTCAGCCGAGACGTGAGCACAGGTGTCCCGTCGAGATACGCGTTATAAAGTGTCTGGCTGCAGAAACTTCTAATTCTGACTCCCAAGCCGCTCATGTCTAGGCAGCGAAGGACAAACGAGAGCGTGACGTAGGAAAGCGATCGGCTCAGCAGTAGTCGCTGGATTTATGAATGGCATGGCGGTTTGAACAGGCTGGGGATATTTGTGGCTGCTGGCGCCTGCTGCAGGCTAAAAATTTATACGCGATATTATGCGAGAATCTGCACGCGTTTGCCCGCCGGATCACGGACTCACAAGTCAATAGAATACCAGAACCACTCGAACATGTTTGTGGGTGAGCTTACAAATGAACCCTGCTAACATTCTGATTTGACCAAGTACATAATCGTATAGAGCACGTATAGCTGCCCATTGACCGCCAACAAAACACAAAGCCACAAAAACGGTTCCTGTGTAATTGCTTTGCACTTGAATCGAGAGGTAAGGACCTTTTACTACAAGTATACGAAAACGAGGCCAGATATGTGCTATCAAGCCTTGACAGCCTTGCGACGGCCAACCCGGGCCACGAAACCAGCCTTGATGGGCGCAACGGAGCGATGCGACCCACACTGAGGGAGCGACAAGGTAGGCAGGGGGGTGGGAGGTAAGGGGGGAAGTAAGGGAACTGGATTTGTCCAAACCAACCCAAGCCACGAAACCAGCCTTGATGGGCGCAACAGAGCGATGCGACCCACACTGAGGGAGGGAGAGGGAAGGCAGGGAGGTTGGGGGTAAGGGGGAAAGTGAGGGAACTGGATTCGTCCATTGAGCAATACAAGCCACACTAAGGGGAGGCGAGGGAAAGCAGGGGATGGGGGTGTTACGTTTAAGTTGTGAAGGAAAGCAAGGTCCACATTAGGATGGTGTCTGGCGATTCCTGTGCATAAAGGGGGGATATCATGCGTATAAATAGAAGTGTACCTGTTCGCATCGCAGGAAGAAGAGGCGATTCTCCTTGGAGAGGATGGTGTCTGGCGACTTGCAGCCATTGCACATCACGTACTCGTCTGTGGAAGAAGGGGGTGAAGGAAGAGGGGGGGGAGGGGGGGGAGAGGGGGAGGAAGGGAAACATAGCAATAAGAAACAGATAAGAGAGCTTTTGATCGAAATACGGGAGGCTAAGTGCAAGGGAGATGATAAGGAGACTTGCAGGCATCACGCATCAAAATGGGGAGAGGGAGCCACGGACACAGAAGGGACGGCAGGGAGGGTGGTCAGTCAGATCAGAAGGAGCATCTGTTTCGGTTGGTGTTAACAAGTGGAGGGCTGCCAGTGCCAGAAACCTCAATGCGACAGTCTCACTGCTGTCTTAACAAAGGACGCTCCCTGCTCACTGACGAATCGATGCCAGAGCGTTTTTTAGTATCCTTTCGGTTGGTGGTAACAAGCGGAGGGCTACAAAAAACGCGACAAAGAAACGCGACAGCCTCACTGCTGTCTTGACAAAAAACGCTCCCAGTTTCCCGTCAAACAATAGTCACTGACAAATCGCAGCTGAAGGGCAACAGAATCAAGCCTTTAGAACACGCACTGAAGGGCGAACCACCGTCCCTTCAGCACCAGCCAGTGCCAACCAGCCATCCATCAGTACAGAACGCCTATTGACCCAAGGGGCGTCACAGTGGGGTTTCAGGAGAACACTCACTGACGTATCGCCGCAGAATACCCTCAAAATTCTTGGGTGCGAATCGGCCCTTCACCACCAGCCGCTGCTGGCCATCGAGAGAACCACTGGTACCCAGCTCAGCCAGCAGGAACGCCATCACGTGCTCCGGCTGCCGGTGCATGCTGCGGTAACATGGGTTGAATGTGGTGAAGAGGGGTAGAACGGAATAGGGATGGATTGGACGTGGTGAAGAGCCATCCATGAGAGACCAGAAATCCACTGGTTCCTAGCTCAGCCAGGAGGAACGCCATCACGTGCTCCGGCTGCCGGTGCGTTCTGCGGTGAAGCGGAGTGGAGAGCGGTGGCACGGGGTGGAGAGGGGTTAAAAGCAGGGGGGATGGGTGCAAAACAGTGAGGAAGCACCAACAGGAGTCCAGAGAACCACTGGTACCCAGCTCAGCTAGCAAGAACGCCATCAAGTGCTCTCTGGCTGCCAGTGTTTGCTGAGAAGGGTTGAATGCAGTAATGAGGGGTACGAAGTGGTAAGCCATGTGGGTAGGTGCAAGAGGTAAAGGTGGGGTGAAGGATGTCGGAAAAAGGAAAAAACAAAACATGACGCAATCGGAAACAGCAGAGACGGGCTGGGGCGCTCACGTTTTACAGAGATCCATGAAGTTGGCAAAGACTGTCTTCTTGGTTCCTTCTCGCAGCACCTGCACGCACGCAGAGGGGCGGACGTGATCAGTGGAAGAGGTGAGTGATGCATGATAGTGTTTCGTGTGTGCGTGAACGTGTGTGTGTGTGAACGTGTGTGTGCGTGAACGTCTGTGTGCGTGAACGTGTGTGCGTGAACGTGTGTGTGCGTGAACGTGTGTGTGCGTGAACGTGTGTGTGCGTGAACGTGTGTGTGCGTGAACGTCTGTGCGTGAACGTCTGTGTGCGTGAACGTGTGTGCGTGAACGTGTGTGTGCGTGAACGTGTGTGTGCGTGAATGTGTGTGTGGATGAGTGTGTGTGTGTGTGGGGAGGGGGGAAGGGGGGGAAGGAGTGTGGGGGGGCAGGTGGGGGGGTGGCAGGCGAACGAACGCACGTGTGCATGCAATGTATGCTGGTGTGTTATGGAACCAATCTTGCACAAATTTGAAAATTACGCCTCTGTCAGTGTCTGTCGGTGTGATTTGAAATTTAAGGAGGCTTGTCTTGCACACCTGAGGAGGGCGCATGATGGTTCGGCGGCGGTCTCCAGCCAGCTCAGGGTTGTTCTCCCTCAGAATGTTGAACACACGGCCCAGGAGCTGTGAGTGCGGGTGTGTTTGTGGGGGGCGGGGGGGGAGGGGGGGGTGGTTGGAGGGGGGAGGGGAACAGGAGACAGTTGGTAAGTCATTGTGGCACATGGCTTCCAGCCAGCTCGGGGTTGTTCTCCCTCAGGATGTTGAAGACACGACCCGGGAGCTGTGGGTAGGGGCAAGAGGAGGACGGCGGGAGAGGGGGAAGGGAGGGGGGGAGGAAAAGGGGGGGGGGGGGGGTGGGTTGAAAACAGGAGACAAGGGAGGACGCATGGGAGCAGCGTACAGCAGGGGTGCGTATATGGGAGACATGGTAACACATGGTTCAAAGGCTCAACCCCTGCGTGTGAGACGTCAACTCACTTCTTCATCCTTGTAATCCCGGTCCGCCCCCTCCCACAGCAACATACTGGGATTTGATTGAGTGCCCCTTCCAGCACCCCCTATCGCACCCTCACTCTCAACTCAACCCGTGAGTGTGACAACAGATCAACTCACCTCCTCATACTTGTAATCCCGGTCCGTCCCCTCCCACGGCAGCTTGGTGGGGCCTCCCAATTCAATCCCCTCCGCCTCCTCGTCCTCCTCCCCCTCGCCCGCCGCCTCCTCCTCCTCTTCCTCCTCCTCCTCCGCCTCCGCCTTGGCGTGCTCCTCAGCCTCCACCACCTCCTCCTCCGTCCTCTGCTTCGGCTTCTTCTTTTTCTTCTTTTCAAGCTTCAGCTCCAAGCCCTCTCCGTCCTCCCCTGCCGCTCCCTCCTCACCCGCCTCCTCTCCTTTCTCGCCATCCGCGCCCTCTCCGTCAGCCTACGAAACAAAAGGAGGTGGGGGAGGAGAATGGGGAAATACAACATTGAAGCTTCAGCTCCAAGCCCTCTCCATCCTCCCCTGCCGCTCCCTCCTCGCCTGCCTCCTCTGCCTTGTCGCCATCCGCGGCCTCTCCGTCAGTCTGCAACGCAGAAAAGATGCAGGAAAACGGAACAGAGGAGAAGGGGCTTTTGATAATTGGCTTCAAGTATTTTTTATATAATAGGTATTATAAGGTGACTTAAGCATTAGTTTTTTCTTTTTCTTTTTCTTTTTTTCGGCTCCAGGCTTTTGCAGCTGCTCTCTCCTCCGCCGCCTCCTTTTCCTTCTCGCCGTCCACTGCCTCCCCACCAGACTATATGGGCAGAAAAAAAAAAAACACAAAAAAAGAAAAAATGAACATGAGAGTATCCGGGCCTTCGAAGTCTCCTCCTGCTGCTCCCTCCCCGTTGTCTTCTCACCAAAAAACAAAAACAGGAGAGGGAACGAAAAGGCCCGAACCTACCTGCGGCTTATTCTTCTTCGTTTCCTTTGCACTAGCACCACAGACTTGACGGATTCCTCGAATGCTCACCTGTTTCATCAGTTTTTTTGTTCTCTCTGACTCTGCGGCTTCTTCTTCTTTCTTCAGTTCTTTTCTATTCACTGCCTCGACGGAGCCCTTGACTGCTCACATGTCTACACAATTGTTGGGTTCTCGTCGAACTCTTGAGCCTCGAGCCTACCTGCGGCTTCTTTTTCTTTTTCTTCTTTGCCCCGAAATCCACAGTCTCGACGGAGTCCTCAACTGCAATCAGCGAAATGTAGAAAAAAAAAAGGGGAACACGCTTAAGGAGGAATGCGGCGAACTTGAAACCCCGAGCAGAATTTTCGACGAGGGAAATGATCCGATCCGCAAATATGACCAACACCCAGCTCATCGAAAAGGCGGGATAGGTGAGAAGTCGGAAGGGACACATTTAATGACATAAGATGGCGCGCTAGCGTCACTCTCATCTTATATCTAACTGATCTTAAACGGATCCTACCTGACAACCCTTCAACCTTCTCAGACACCTCGGCCACGTCAGCGGCTTCCTCTTCCGCGGATCGATCCTTCTTCTTTTTCTTCTTCTTCTTGGCTAGATCGAACGACCCAACCTGAATCGCGGAAGACGAGAAGGAGAACAGGAGACCATGGATCTCAGCTTTATATTGGAAACACGAGCTCTTCGACTAGGCTAGCCTAAACGCCTCTGACCTAATACCCGGATGACGACGAGAAAACTAGGAAACGGGGGTCTCAGCTTAACACGAGAATCACACAAGCCGTTCTGCATGGCATGATGCGGGAAAGCCTCTGCGTAGCCTGTTCGAACCCCCCGACCGAAATCCATGCAGACTTCGAGAGTGTCGGAATGAATGGAAGCGTAAAGTCGAAATGTGAAATCGACGATAAATGCCTACGAAAAGAGAAGATTCGGGTGAGCCAGATTGCTCCAATCACCTCTGAGACGGTCGGAACATTTTCGTCGTCAGCCATAACCCTAACGCTGCGAATGAACGGCTTTTGGGTTGCTCGCAGAAGGCGTGGTTACGGGAACCACGGACAAGCTAAATCAAGACGACAGGATCTGAGGAAAAGCGTCGAAAGACGCGCAACAAGTCTGACGTCCAGTAACTTGTCACTAGAAAGCACGGATCGAGGATAACGGCAGAAATGTGCTGAATCCCAAGGAGTGGAGGGATGGGGGAGGAGGGGAGGAAAGGGGAGAGCAAAAGAGCGGAGCAAAGAGATGAGGTAATCCCGAGGTTTGGGGTTATGGCAGCTCAACATTGCTCGCTTCGCGCATCCTCGAGTCAGTACACTAGCTACATACTATAATGTGATTAAACTCTCACTTTCGGCTTATACCCTGATCATGTTTCATTGTCAAAATAGAAATGCTACAAAGATGAGTGACGAGCAGGGGTAAGATAGCCAAGGGCACCAGTAGTCATGATGGCATCGGTAATCACATACACTTAAGGTGTGCCATTCATCCACACACCACTCTTCTAGCAATGTAGTAAAATGTTACATGGCATGTTTAGCAACTAGACATTGTCGTCCTCGTCCTTGCCCAGGAAAGCAAGCATCGGGTCATCAGCATGGACTCTCTTCATTCGGTAAGCCTCCATGTCCTCCTCCGTCACCTATGGGCAAGAAGGGCAAAAAATATGTTGGACATCGGCATTTGGGTTGGTTGGGTTGGGTGGAGGAGACACCAACATGGCAGTGAGAATGTGCGAGCATGCCTGCTCGGAAACACGAACAGACGAACAATGGGGACAAGAACAGACGAAGCATACAGCACATGAGAAGCGGCCAGCTCTGCCGAGAGTAATGAACATGGAGGGTGTGACTTAAAGAGCAAACGGGAAACTTACATCGTCAGAATACGTGACGTTGTACTTGCGCTTGCGCTCATCCTTCTCCTCTCTTCCCAGTTCCTCCTCCTGGCACAACAGGAAAAAAAATCATTAAAAACTCACATGTAAATTAATCATACATTGATATATGCCACCCATGGAGAGACATGTCAAAGAGCAATACAGACAAACAGAACCCTAAAAGAATGTTCTCCCTTTACCTCCTCGGGGCACACAGACGAGCCCCCATGCAGCCAAGTTCACATGTCCTCGCTTCCAGTCACACACATTCCAAGCCCATTCTCCCCCCCCACCAATCCTTCTTCATGCACATGCATGCATGTGTTCGCATGCGGCCAACTTCACATGTCCTCGCTTCCTATCGCTCACATTCCAAGCCCATCCCCCCCCAACCCCTCCCTGATCCTTCTTCATGCACAAGCATGCATACGTTTCCCAACCCACACATACCCTCTTGAGTGCAGCTCTGAGCTTCTTCTTATCCAGCTTCAAGTCCAGATCCACGTCTGTGCCCCACACCACCGATTTCTTCTCTTCTCCGTGCTTCGCCCTCCCTGCTCCCTCCTCCGCCCCTTCCCCATCCTCGCCCTGCAAGCCCTCAGCCTCTGCACATTAGGAGGCGAGATGGAAGGGAAGGGAGGATGAATCCGCATGATAGGAGTCTAGTTTTGAGGCGCCTCAAAACTCATCCTCACCCTGCAAGCCCTCAGCCTCTGCACATAAGGAGGCGAGATGGAAGGGAAGGGAGAATGAATGTACGTCCAAATCCAAGTCTGTGCCCCATGCCCCCGACTTCTTCTCTTCACCGTGCTTCGCCCTCCCTGCTCCCTCCTCCGCCCCTTCCCCATCCTCGCCCTGGAGGCCTTCGGCTTCTGCACATTTGGAAAAAATGCAAGGGAAAAACGAATGCACTTCAGCTAGTTTTGAGGCGCCTCAAAACTAGACTCCTAAAAACGAATGCACTTCAGCGGATCTGACCAGCGCCTCAGCAGCAGCAAACGCCAGTAGCTCCTGTTTGGTGGTGCGGGTGGTCTGGTGGCGGCGGCACGCATGGCCACAAGAACACCAGCACCTCAATACACGCACATTAGCAGCACTCGTACCCACCAGAGCGCACTTTCAGCTGTGCTGACGCCCTCACGCCCCTCTAGCTGTGCGTATATTCGTCCCCAACGCTGCGCCCTCACGCCCCTCTAGCGGCCTTCGTCTGGTGGCAGCACACGTAGCCACAAGAACACCAGCACCTCAATACACGCACCTTAGCATCACCTCATAGCCACCAGAATGCACCTTCAGCTGAGTGGATTCATCCCCAACGCACCTTGAGCCGCTTTCATCTGCTCCCTTCGCTCCATATTCGCCTGCATGAGGCTAGCCGACGCCTCAGCAGCAGCAATGCCGCTAGCTGCACACCTTAACACACACATACACATGCATTCCCAACAACGCACCTTGAGCAGCTTTCATCTGCTCCCTCCTCTCCATATTCGCCTGCATGAGGTTAGCCGACGCTTCAGCAGCAGCAATGCCGCTGGCGCCCGTGCAGTAGCTCATGCGGGTGGTCTGGTGGCAGCACGCATAGCCCCACACGCCCCCGCCCCACCAGCTGCCCCACACAGCCGTGTGGTTGTTGATCAGCACGTCCTCCTCGTATCTGCTGCACGGGACAGCCTTGTCCTGGAAAGAAGAGGACAAGAGTGGGGACAAGGGAAGGAAAGGGTCAGAGGGAATCACACGCCAGCACCCCACCAGCTGCCCCACACGGCCGTGTGGTTGTTGATCGGCACGTCCTCCTCGTACCTGCTGCACGGGACAGCCTTGTCCTGCAGGGACGGGAAGAGAAGGGGAAAGGAGAGAGGAGCGCGAAGGGAGGTTGGGGTTCACGTCACCTACAGGGTACACCTGTAAGAGATCACATAAGAACATACCACGCCTCTGAGAGGTCGGCCCGCGCGGTCGTACCTCCACTCGCACCTCCGTCTGCCCCAGCAGCAGCTCCTCCAATGCCCCTCAGGAATAGCATAGGCAGCTGTACCACAACGCACCTGCTATGAGCGTCTCTATAAGTACCACGCCTCTAAGAGGCCAGCCCACGCGGCCACACTGAATCACAACCTACAGTGCCTGTTTTAAGAACTACCCAGGCTACTGTATAAAGGCGGTCGTACTCCACTTGCAGCTCAGTCTGCCCCAGCAGCAGCTGTACCACAACATACCTGTTATGAAAGTCACTATACCACTACGTACCACTCCTCTCAGCGGCCTCCCAGCGCGGTCGTACTCCACCTGCACCTCCGTCTGCCCCAGCAGCAGCTCCTCCGGGATCCCCTCCTCCTCCCCGCCCTTCCCCTTCCCGCCATTACTCGCCGCATTCCCATACTTAGCCAGCACCGACTCCTTACTGGCCCCCGTCAGCTTCTCCTTCTTGACCTTAAACTCCCGGTGCAGCAGCTCGGCCTGGCTAGGCGCCCCCTGCAGGTGCACGTCCACGTTGCTCTTCTCCATCGCTTCCCATGCGTGCACAGTGAGCTGGCGGAATTCCAGTGCCTGCCCGCTGATGCGGTTGTGGTTGTCCCCCAGGTAGAACTTGTCCTTGGCGTCGCCCTCGGGGTTGGGGTCCTCTCGCATGGAGCGTGTCTTCGGGTCGTAGTAGGCCGAGTCCACGTCCAAGTTGAGCAGGTACTTGGCTGTATCCTCGCGGATACGCAGGTTTCTGGGGGTCGGGAGAGCGGAAGGGAAGGGATAAGGTGAGGGAAGGAAAGCAGGTGAGCTGGCGGAATTCTAAGGCCTGGCTGCTGATGCGGTTGTGGTTGTCCCCCAGGTAGAACTTGTCCTTGGCGCTGCCCTCAGGGTTGGTGTGCTCTCGCATGGAGAGTGTGTCTTCGGGGCGTAATAGGCCAAGTCTACGTCCAGATTCAGAAGATACTCCGGTGTGTACTTGCTGTCTTACTTGTCTACAGCAAGTAGTGTAAACACTTATGCCTATAATCTGAACTGCCAGGGAAAGCTGGTCATACATACCACACTGATCCCGTGCTGCCACCACCGGTGGTCCGCACTCGCTTCTCCACCTTCCAAAGCCCATCTGCCTGCTCTCGTCCAGACTGACTGACTGACTGACTGTAGCGAAGACAAGTGAGCATTCTGAGGCATGTAAGGAAGGTGCTACATGTAACGTACCGAACTGATCCCATGCTGCCACCACCACCACCGGTTGTCCTCACACGCTTCTCCACCTTCCCGAAATCCATCTGTCTACTCTCGTCCAAACTGACTGCCTGCCGGCTCTCATCCAGACTGACTGCCTGCCGGCTCCCATCCAAACTGACTGACAACTGAGCATTCTGCGACATGTAAAGAAGGTGCTACGTACCGCACTGATCCCGTGCTACCACCACCGGTGGTCCTCACACGCTTCTCCACCTTCCCGAAATCCATCTGTCTACTCTCGTCCACCTTCGCATCATCCTCCTCCTCCTCCTCTTCCTCCTCCCCTCCCTCCTCCCCTCCCTCCTTTCCTCCCCCCTCCTTTCCCCCTCCTTCTCCCCCCTCGCCCCCTTTCCCCGCCAGCTTCTTCAGCTGCTGCTCCTTCTGAAACTTCTTCCTTGCTTCCGCCCGAATGTCATACGAGTCCATGGTGCGTTTGTACGTCGCCGCGTCGTATCCGTTCCACCTGTCGCGCTTGCCCTCGTAGTTGAGCTCGATCGATTGGATCTTCTCGTCTGCAGCAATGCTCTGGCTCGTCCACTTGGCGCCCACCTTCCTCGGCCGCTCCACACATAACTTTGCCGTATGAGTCATGGCTCCACAGCTGATAGTAAGTTGGAGAGGGGGGGGAGGGGGGGGGGGGGGGTGGGGAGAGCAAGACAGGCAGATGAGATATTTGGATCTTCTCATTGGCTGAGATGCTCTGGCTCGTCCACTTCGCGCCCACCTTCCTCGGCCGCTCGACGCACAGCTTGGCAGTTTGGGTCATGGCGCCACAGCTGATGGGCCAAAGGGGAGGAGAGAGAGGGGAGAGAGGGAGGGAGGGAGGGAGGGAGGAGAGAGGTGAGTGCCTTGCCTTATAATGGAAATTCACTGTTCACAGCTCTGCCCACCCCGTAAGGCCGCTTCCACACGTAGCTTTGCAGTGTGGGTCACGGCGCCACAGCTGAGAGTAAAGCAGGGGGCTTGACGCAGGTTGAAAACTTCACCACGTCAAACCCGCAGGCCGGAAGCCGTTGGCCGCTTGGTGCAGGCGCCCTTGGGGACATACTTGGTGCACGCGCCCTTGGGGACATACTTGGTGCAGGCGCCCTTGGGGACATACTTGGTGCAGGCACCCTTGAGGACATACTTGGTGC